TATTATTTTTGACAATTCAGAGAGCTCAACAGGACAAAAACTGTCCAAACATAAATCAGGCTCTAGTGAAATTTTTTAAGTTGCCTCATTTGACAGGGGACTAGAGATAGTTGAATGAAGGATGGTTTGAATTTTCTCTCTAATTGAAATAATTTTATTTATAAAGAATCTCATGAAGTCATCACTATTTATACAGGTCCTTCTAAAAAAAATAGCATATTGTGATAAAGGTCATTATTTTCCATAATGTAATGATAAAAATGAAACTTTCATATATTTCAGATTCACTGCACACCATCTGAAATATTTCAGGTCTTTAATTGTTTTAATACTGATGATTCTGGCATACAGCTCATGAAAACCCAAAATGCCTGTCCCAAAAAATTAGCATATCATGAAAAGGTTCTCTAAACAAGCTATTAACCTAACCATCTGAATCAACGACGTAACTCTAAACACCTGCAAAAGATTCCTGAGGCTTTTAAAAACTCCCAGCCTTGTTCTTTACTCAAAACCGCAATCATGAGTAAGACTGCCGTCCTGACTGCTGTCCAGAAGGCCATCATTGACACCCTCAAGCAAGAGGGTAAGACACAGAAAGAAATTGCTGAACAAATAGGCTGTTCCCAGAGTGCTGTATCAAGGCACCTCAGTGGGAAGTCTGTGGGAAGGGAAAAGTGTGGCAGAAAACGCTGCACAACGAGAAGAGGTGACCGGACCCTGAGGAGGATTGTGGAGAAGGGCCAATTCCAGACCTTGGGGGACCTGCGGAAGCAGTGGACTGAGTCTGGAGTAGAAACATCCAGAGCCACCGTGCACAGGCGTGTGCAGGAAATGGGCTACAGGTGCTGCATTCCCCAGGTCAAGCCACTTTTGAACCAGAAACAGCGGCAGAATTCGCCTGACCTGGGCTACAGAGAAGCAGCACTGGACTGTTGCTCAGTGGTCCAAAGTACTTTTTTTGGATGAAAGCAAATTTTGCATGTCATTCGGAAATCAAGGTGCCAGAGTCTGGAGGAAGACTGGGGAGAAGGAAATGCCAAAATGCCAGAAGTCCAGTGTGAAGCACCCACAGTCAGTGATGGTCTGGGGTGCCATGTCAGCTGCTGGTGTTGGTCCACTGTGTTTTATCAAGGGCAGGGTCAATGCAGCTAGCTATCAGGATATTTTGGAGCACTTCATGCTTCCATCTGCTGAAAAGCTTTATGGAGATGAAGATTTCATTTTTCAGCACGACCTGGCACCTGCTCACAGTGCCAAAACCACTGGTAAATGGCTTACTGACCATGGTATTACTGTGCTCAATTGGCCTGCCAACTCTCCTGACCTGAACCCCATAGAGAACCTGTGGGATATTGTGAAGCGAAAGTTGAGAGACGCAAGACCCAACACTCTGGATGAGCTAAAGGCCGCTATCGAAGCATCCTGGACCTCCATAACACCTCAGCAGTGCCACAGGCTGATTGCCTCCATGCCACGCCGCATTGAAGCAGTCATTCATGCAAAAGGATTCCCGACCAAGTATTGAGTGCATAACTGAACATGATTATTTGAAGGTTGGCGTTTTTTGTATTAAAAATACTTGTCTTTCATTGGTGGGATGAAATATGCTAATTTTTTGGGACAGGCATTTTGGGTTTTCATGGATGCCATAATCATCAGTATTAAAACAATTAAAGACCTGAAATATTTCAGTTGGTGTGCAATGAATCTGAAATATATGAAAGTTTCATTTTTATCATTACATTATGGAAAATAATGACCTTTATTACGATATGCTAATTTTTTGAGAAGGACCTGTACATCAGATTTTGGGTACATCATTAGTGAGCACTTCTAGACACACTGGTATTGTTGTTTAACGTTTGACTCCAGTGCGCTCCCAGATTATTCCAACAGTTATATCTCAATGAAATATCATCCAATATGTACCAGATTTTATGTGCGTGATCAGTGAGCACTTGTACACACATTGGTATTGTTGATTCATGCCATCACTTAAGCCCCACCTACTCAGAGAAAAAACTGTTGATTATTGGATGACACTTTCAAATTCGCACTGTGTAAGATATTACACTGAAACTTTGTTTGCTAACTGTTGATTACCACACGACATGTTGAAAAGCATAAAGGAAGTGCTTGTCAAACATTCGCAACAAAACAGGAAGTCATCCATAACTCCTGTGTGGAAGGTCAGATTTCGCCTATACTTGTAAGACCTGCAGCTGAACAAGTAACAACACGGAAGGAAGGAGATGTTGAAGATTCAGGAAATGCATCCCAAGGGGAACGCATGCGGGATCGGCACGAGAGCGTTCGCGATGGCGACTGGGTGGACTAGCTGGAGCTCCCGCTGTCGCCGTAAGGTCGGAGCAGCGCTTTGCTGCGAGGGCCTCCAATGCTGCTTTCAGCTTTAATTCTCTTTGCACCAGCTCTCCAGGTGTTCCACCTCTTGCCTGTAGCTGGACTCATCATTGTTTGTGATGCATCCTACAACCGCTATATCATCTGCAAACTTTACAATATGACAACCTGGACATGTAGCTGCACAATCATTCGTGAGCAGAGTAAACAGGAGGGTTGCTCAACACACATCCCTGAGGAGAGCCAGTGCTGAGGGTTATGGTGGAGGAGAAGTTGTGGATCCTCACTAACTGTGGTCTGTTTGTTAAGAAGTCTAGTACCCAGTTGAAAATTGAGGGGTTTAGTAATAGTGTGAATAGTTTGTCCATCATGGTTTGGGGGATCATGGTGTTGAAGGCAGATGTGAAGTCCACAAAGAGCATACGGACACAAGAGTCTTTCTGCTCTAGGTGGTTGAGCGCAGTGTGGACCACAGAGGAGATGGCATCCTCTGTTGATCGGTTCTCATGGCATGCACACTGATGAGGGTCTTCGTTTATATTGATGGTTGTTTTGATGTGGGTCATGACCAGGTTTTCAAAGCATTTAGCGACTATCGGGGTGAAGGCCACTGGCCGATAGTCATTCAGACTGTAGAGCTTTTTGGGAATGGGATGATGGTGGCAGTCTTCAGGCAGGTGGGAACTGTCACCAGGGTAAGTGAGGTGTTAAAGATGTCTGCCAGTAACTCGCAGAGCTGATCGGCACAGTCTTTCAACACTTTTCTGGGGATGTTGTCTGGGCCGGTTGCCTTGTGCGGATTAATCCTCCTGAAAGTACTCCTCACTTCTGCAGAGGTCATGCTGAGATGCACTTCATCCGGTGGTGAGGTGAGTCTGGTGCTGGGTGGTCTGTTCTGGTCTTCAAAGCGTGCACATAACTTGTTGAGGGCATCAGGCAGAGATGGGTCTTTGGGGCATTGTTCGCTCTTTCCTTTATAATCTGTTATGCACTTAAATGAATTGACCCTCGATCCTCTGTGCATATGTGGCCTCGGTCCTCTTAATACCAGCAACCAGCCCTCTCCTTGTCCTACTCAGCTCCTCTGAGTTTCCAGACCTGAAGGCAGTGTTCCTGGCTTCCAGTAGGGTGTGCACCTCTGCATTCAGCCATGGTTTTCTGTTCGGGTAGCTTTTAACATATCTGATGGTGGAGACGGTGTCAGTACATGTACTAATGCAACCCAGAACTGAGGATGCGTATTGGTCCAGATCAAGCGATCCTCCATTTTCAGCAGCTTCTCTGAAAACCTGCCAGTCTGTTCGATCAAAACAATCTCTCAGTATGGGGCCACTGTCCTGGATCCAACATTTAGCTTTCTTTTGTACCGGTCTGGAGCATCTCAGCAGGGGGAGGTAAGCAGATACCATTAACATTGAGATGTGGTCTGACAGTCCTAGGTGGGGGTGGGGTTCGGCTTTGTATGCATCTTTTACATTTGTGTAAACACGGTCCAGTGTCTTGTTTCCACGTGTTGGTATGCCCACATGCTGGTAAAAGCTTTGGAGACGGTCTTTTAGATTCACATGATTAAAGTCTCTGGCTACAACGTAAAGAGCCTCAGGGTGTTTGTTCTGCAAAGAGCTGATTATATCATGAAGTTCTTGCAAGGCGTCATTAGCATTAGCATCAAGAGGAATAACTGTGATGAAAGTCACTGTGAACTCGCGGGGTAGATAATGTGGCTGACATTTCACTGTTATTTGCTCCAAAGCCTTCGAGCATGAGCTTTTTACAACAGTACAGTTCGTGCACCAAATTTTACTCACGTAAATGCACACTCCGCCTCCCCGTGATTTCTCCATTAGTTCGCTGCAGCGGTCCACTCGAAAAAAAAAAATCTGTCATCCAGCTGGAAGACTGCATCCAGCGTTTCACTTGTAATCTATGTTTCTGTGAGGCAAAGCACCGCACACTTCATCATCTCTTCTGAGGTTCCGGCTCTTAGACGAAGCAAATCCATCTTGTTGTCTAACAAGCGGACGTTCGACAGAAAGAGAGACGGCATCGGGAGTTTTCTGGCTTTAGCGTTAGCTTGTAGCCCCACCAGAACCCCCGCCCGGTGTCCTCTCTTCTTAAGCTGGGAGCAGCGTTTCCTCTTCTGCCCGCTGGAACGCCTCTGCTGCAGCTTCCAGGTAGATTACTTTAAGATCTGCATTCTGCCGAGCGTAGTTTTGAGTTTGTTGCCGATTTCTGATATATTTCGTGGCAAATCTGCTGCTATTCTCATCAATTCGGTTCGGCTATAGTTCACACACATAAATCGTGCGAAGTCAGGCACAGAGTCACTAGGACCTTGAGTGAACAATTTTGTTCCACTTCATGTACTACATTTAATGTGAATGACAAAAGTCATGTTGAGCCTTGATCAGGTAGAAGTTGATTATACATTAAAACATAAAAAATAAAGCAGACAAACAGCAGGTTATCTGGCCATTGAATAGTGGGAGGTGACCCTTCTGTTTGTTGCTGAAGTGTTTTAGTCCTGGACCTGAACAATAAGAAAAGACAAAACCTCAAACTAACGGACATCTCTGAACATCTGCAGTTTGGAAATGTTCATCCCATAAAATGAACGTTAGACAGCGGGGTCTTACCATGCCATATGGCTCCATGTCCGTCCCACAGAGTTGCCAGTGTTTTTCTTGCTCCATCCCACAGGTTATTGCAGTAAGCCTCTTTCAGCTGATTCTTTCTCTAACAGAATAAAGCATCAAACATAGCAAATATTGTTATGATCAGTTTTTTTATCCATTAGTCAACATTTATTTACCATCCTGGATGTCAAACGATATTTATTCACCCCTTGGGCCTTCTCTCTGTTTTGTTGCCCTACAACCTAGAATTTAAAAGGAATATGGGTTTGTAACTTTTAACTCTCAATTTACACAACTCTGAAGATGAAAAGTTAGACTGAAGTCGAGGCTTTAACTGGACCATTTCAGGATGTTAAACTTCTTCGTTTGGCTTTTATAATAATAATAATAATACTAATTTTATTTAAAGAGCGCCTTTTAGGACACCCAAGGACACATTACAGTAAGAAACATATCAGAAAGATTGTGTAAAAACAAACAACAAGCACAGTGCAAAGATCAACAGGAATAAATTGAAATATAAAATCCATAAAGAATATAAAATACATACAGCAAAGTTAAGGATAAGCGAGTCTAAAGAGATGTGTTTTCAGAACAGTCTTGAATAGAGAAAGAGAGGTGGTGTTTCGTAAGTCTGGGGGTAGAGAGTTCCAGAGATGAGGGGCAGAGCAGGTGAAGGCCCTGCTCCCCATGGTGGAGAGGTGGGCAGAGGGTACATGGAGGTGTAGTGAAGAGGAGGATCTGAGAGAGAGGGGATGGAGATGTGTAGGAGGTCAGATAGGTAAGGAGGGGCAAAGTTGTGGATAGCTTTGAAAGTGAGAAGAAGAATTTTGAAGACAATGCATGATTTAACCGGGAGCCAGTGGAGCTGCTGCAGGACATGAGTGATGTGGTTATAATAATAATAATAATAATAATGTCATCACAATGTCAGCACTGTATATTTCCATACAATGGCGAAATTAGTCTCTGCATTTAACCCATCCACCACCAGATGGTGCAGTGGGCAGCTATTGAAAGCGCCCGGGGGACATTTTGGGGATTAGACGTGCTGCCCAGAGACGCCACGTGATGTGCAGTGACTGGGGATCGAACCTGGGACTTTCGGATCCCAAGCCGGCTGCCCTGCCTCTACACCATCTCGGCCCCCAAATAAGAGGAGGTTTGAGTGATGACACGGGCAGCTGAGTTCTGGACCAATTGCAGCTTCTGGAGAGATTTGTTGGGGAGGCCATAAAGAAGGGAGTTGCAGTAGTCAATCCGAGAAGTCACAAGACTGTGCATAAGGATGGCTGTGGAGTGGGGTGTGAGAGAAGGGCGGAGACGGTTAATATTTCGGAGATGGAAATAGGCAGACCGAGTAACATTGTTGATGTGTGAAGTGAAGGAGAGAGTGGTGTCGAGGATGACACCAAGACTCTTGACCTGAGGTGAGGGAGATAGCAAAGAGTTGTTCAGGGGGATGAGAAGATGTTCTGATTTTGAAATAGAATTTTTGGTACCGACAAGAATGATTTCAGTTTTGTCACTGTTTAGTTGTAAGAAATTGTTAGAAAACCAATGATTTAACTCATTGAGACAGTCGGTGAGGATGGAGGTGGGTGGAGTTTGGTTTTGTTGACAAGTAGAGCTGTGTGTCATCAGCATAACAGTAGAAATGGACACCAAATTTGCAGAAGATGTGACCTAGAGGAAGGAGGTAAATGATGAAGAGGAGGGGTCCGAGGACAGAGCCTTGGGGGACACCCGTGGAGACGGGGAAAGACTGGGAACGAAAGGATTTAAGCTGAATGAATTGAGTGCTGTTATGGCCTGAGGCCATTTGGTTGAGCAAAACAAGTGTTTGCAGGTTGATTGCTGACTCAGCTGTGCTGTGGCCCATCTGGGATTGGCTGCTTCACTTCCTGAATTCTCCCCAGTGGACGTCAATCTGCATCCTGGTTGGCTTCTTCACCTCCTGCTCCTCCAACCACAGAAGAGCCCTGCCTATTTAAACCCATCTCTCCTGCCATTCAGGGCGGCTGTTGTTTAAAGCAGCTCGCCACTAGTATGGGTTTCTGTGTCTTTGGACTCTGGTCTCTTGACTTGAATTGTCTGGCTTTGGCCAACAGTTAAATCCTGCAGTTGCAGTTGGTTGTCGGTGTTGTTTGTAAGCCCCTGAAAACAGTTAGAAGGCTTACTTGTTTACTTTTGTTTTGACTCATTGTAAATTTGGTTTGAATA